TCTTTTGCTTGACTTCTACCATTTTTTTTTTCAAAGGCATAAAGCTTCAATCTTGCTGCACTTCCAAGACCAACAAAAAAAAAAAACCCTCTGGCTATTCATTCAAGTTTATCAGATTCTAAGCAACCCTCCTCTAATCTTTATAAGAGGCATTTTTGTTTGGTTTCTTTTCCTGTGGCCTTTTATAATCACCATCTTTCTACCTTTAAAATAGACTCCAGTTCCTTGAATTTGTAAAAGCAGTTGAGGATAGGCTATTCCAGGTACTCTGCACTGGTAGCTTTAGTTACTGCCTACATGTTTGCATCCTCAGCTACTGCTCTGGCTGTCACAGTCTGTGTTGCTCCTCACAGTGGACAAGGATTATTTCATTCCAGTTGTTATATGAAAAATCCTGTTATTATCTTTACGCTAGTGCTGTTTTACCTTGCATCAAAATACTGTATACGCAGCTTGTAATCCCCACAATACCATGTATGAAGTACTACACTCTCTCCTGTCATACTGCAGTCCCTCAGCCCAACCTGTATGGGAGCATAAACCTCCTGAAGGGGCTATTGACCTGTACTTTGTCTCTCTGTGGATAGTTGTGGGAATACAGTGGGCATGTTCAGCACAGAGAAATATATGGCACTTTGTCACTGCCTTTATCCCCTTGAAAGTAGTAGGAAATATTTATATTTCCTTTTTATTTACACAATTATTTTAAGCCTATACCATGTAGTAGAAAAGTGCACCCACGCTGTTGGTTTCATATTTTCCTTTGTGGCCACCAGAACAACAGATATTTCCAGCTCCAATATAAGTTTCTGTGTACAGTCAGGGAGCATCCTGGGAGAAAAAATGGTTGGTGGCACAGAAGGCAGAGGGAGCAGCCCGGAGTGTTGATCTGCTGCAGTCTGCCTAATCTGCCCATCTCACCTGATGAGGTGAGGACTGCTGGACCAGTCTGGATGCCCCCATTGCACACACTCCCACCTCTTGCCTGCTCAGTCTCAGGGATAACCACAGTCTCAGAGATAACCACAGTCTCAGAGATAACCACAGCTGGGAAGGATGTGCAGTGGCAGAAGCAACTGCTGGATCTAACCCCAGTCCTGTATCAGAAGCGCTCATGTCCAGGGATCTCCTTCTTCCTGTCCCTGTTCCCAGCAGCTCTGGAGGCACAGGAGAAGCACTGCTTTACCCATCAGGTGATGGATGCGAAGGGGAGTGATAGAAGGGGACAAAAAAGGGTAAAATGCCACCCCAATCCAACCCAATACATATCTGACCTGTCCCAGTACCCTTCACTTACCCTGATATTATGTAGGCCCCTCAATACCTCCTCTCACCCAGACCTCTTGTTCTCTTGTTGACACCTTTCCTTGCACAGCTAAGAGAACCTTGTTTACACCTCTGAGCGAGGTATGTCTTGGAGCAAGGAGTGGCCATTTCCAGCTCTACTCTTTACCTTGTTGAAATAGACTCTGTCAGCTGGAAAATGTTCTTTGGACCTTCCTCCAGTCTCCTGCTTTTCCAAGGAGTGCATTTCTTGATGAGATATGCCCTTGATCTCATCTGGGTTGCTCTTTTCCCAGGTGTTGCTGCAGTCATCATAGTGTTGGTTTTTTTTTAATGGACAGGCCACAGGTTTCTCTAGAAGGAGGAAGATGCCAGAACCAGTGCCCAATATGAGTCAGTCCCCTCAATGTGGGTATCTTTCAGCATAAGTTGGTTTGTGCTGCATGTCAAATTCTCCTTGTTCAGTCTGTATTTGACCTAGGCTGTATCGCTGTATCTATCCTGGCCTTGTTGACAACACCAGTGGGATAATCCATGTGCTCTGAGCCACAGACTATGGCTAGCTCTGACCACATTGTATAGCATTTAAATCTCATCTCCCCTAGGATCCATCTCATGTTTCTTTGCCCCTGGGGCATAATTAATTTTTGTGTGATCTTTCTTTCTTGCTTGCTTTTTCTTGCTTGCTGTCGTGCTTACTAGCTTTCCTGCTTTCTTCCTCTCCTTTCTTCCTTCCTTCTTTCCACTTGTTCTCCCTTGTTCTCTGTCTTTGCTTTTTCCTTTTCTTCCCTCTGCCTTTTTCACTAGAAATAGCCTTGCTTTGTAGCCCTTTCATGGCATTTTCATGGCATGACCACAGAACATGTGTTACTTACCTTAAGGGCATTTTCAGACACATTGCTGGCTGGGGTAGTGTTGATATTCATCTGAGTTCACTACAGATCCGTGTTGCCTGTCTGGGATGTTCAAGCAAACTGATCTCTCATCTGGTCTAGGTTTCCTCAAGAGAGGAACTGGTTATTTTGCTCCAGGGTAAGCCTGGAACCAAACTAGTTTGTGCACCATGTGAATAAGTGGCGGACTGCAGACCTGAAGAGGGAGATATACTTACCCTGCACTTTGGAAAGAATAGAAGATGCTCTAGGCTTAGTTTAGTTATATGATCCTGCCTCACTTCTTGTGTACCCTCATGAGAAAACATCTCACAGGTGTTTCATTTTTATATTAAATGGGCTTATGCAGTTTTTTAACGGTGCATTTCCCATTCAGACTTCTCTGGCTGAAATAACTGAAAGCATTTAAAGTGCATCAAGGCTAACCACTGCTAAAAGCAAGGCTACCAGAACCAGGAGAATGCAAGTAGTGGAGACGATCATTGAAATGAATTCGTAGGTAAGGTCCCAAAACAGGGCAGTCACAGATTCCAACAGACAGGCAGGAAAAGCTGTGAGAAGAAGGAAGCATCAAGGAGCTAAGAGACGAAGCAAGTAGGGACTAGAGACACAGGTACAGGTTTTGCATTGCTCTCTGCTGGAGTGGCCGAGAGTACTTCTGCAGTGCGCAGAGGCATCCATTTTGGTGTTAGCAGGTTCCTTGTGGTTTGACCAGCCCACAGACACATGTATAAGAACAGCCCCGATCAAACTGCCTATATGTGTCACCTAACTTTGGGGCAGGCAAGATCAGGTCTTTCAAAGAAATGCTTTCGGTTGGTGTGTCTGCTTGATGTCAGCTGCAATACTGCTGAAACAATTTTTTTTTTTTTTTTTGTGGAAAACAATGATGGAAGGACTGGAGGGGATAGGCTGGACCCAGCTCCAGTGCAGGAATTGGGACACTGGGCCTAGCTGTGGGACAATGAATTCTCCTCTGGTGTGGCCCAGAATCTCAAGACAGAAATGGAGTTTACAAGGGGTGGGCTCTTGGCAATTTATGACTCAAAGGCAGGTGTCTGATAAATTTTAAGCATCATCATTTGAAATCTGTTTGCATTAATAAAGCTTGCTCTCTTCTCTGTCCTTTTCCATGTCCCAAATAAGTTCCTAGCTGCTGCTTTGAAAATATTGACACTGACCATGGAAAGTGAGGGCTAAAGGTTTGCCACTGAGTCTTCCTGAAGATCATAGGTTATTTGTGACCCTGCCTACAGCCGCATGTGTGGGTTCATTCTGGATTTCTTCCAACCCCTTGACATCCTTGATGTTGGAATATCTCCCTCTCTTCAGTGGATGTTCATTGAAGCGCTTGTCCTCTCCAATAACAGCACTGAACCAATAGCATAACCACAAGTTAGAGCAAATGCAAGAGTCTCAGAGGAAGGAAGGGCAATTTGTGTTTTTCCTTGTGAGGGTGAATGGCCCTAGAGCAATGGACCTTAGCCAGAGTGTTCAGGCAGGTCCTACCTTTCGCATCAAGCCTTTTAAAGGGCCAGTTATTCTCTCCAGAGGATCTCAGACCACACTCAGTTAATGGGAATGTGGGAAGGTAATAGCTCTTCCTTTCCTTGTGACTCAAGGACCTTCAGGCTCACAGGAGCCTATTCTAAATGGTGGCAAGTGTACACAGACGCTAGCTCCCACTGCATAACAAGTCAGAGGGTCATTTCTTATTTTTATACACACGCAATGCTCTTGCAAACTCAACCTTGCTGTCTCATGGAAAGATGATAGGTAGAAGTCTGGACCTGTTTTGCTGTCCTGCTCAAGGCCTGCTGTGAGTACAGCAACAGGTCAGGGAGCTAAGGATGTAGAATGCTTCAGAGGTAAGCATTCATGCATGGAGAGAAGTCATCCCTCTACATCTTCAGTCCTGCTAGAGGAGGTAAGAGCCCTGTTTGGGCGTCACACCTCGTTTGAATTTTGTCTTGATCTGTTTATTCTTAGTCACCAGTTCTTCTGGCTCTGACATGGTGCTCTCCTGTGCACTTCTTTTTTTCCACATTGCCTACATCAGAGATCTACCACGTAAATCACATGGAAACCAAACACAAGTTAAGGGGAAGTGTATAGCCTTCTGGGGCTGTGTGGAGGGGATGGAGGAAAAAGAGCACCTCTCTGCCTCACAGGTGAACAGAGCAGCACAAACGCCTTCAAAACTGTCCTATTTTTTGAGAATTTCATCCCTCCTCAGTTCACTCCACCCTTGGTTACAAGGCTTCCCAAAAAACTAGTCTGTTAGTGGGAAAAAAAAAGTAGCAAGACTTAGAAGTGGGCAGTGAGAGAGGGAAAAGAAGAAAAAGACTCTCTTCTCCCCTCCATCAACCATCCTCCCATTTTGGAACATTCATTCCCCCACCATCTCCTGCAGAATTAACACAGGAAGAATCTTTCCTTTAAAATAAAACCACTTCCTAAATCAGATGGGTTTTCTGAATAAAGAACTTCCTTTTTTTACCCCTTCTCTCCTCGGAGTATCTCAGACAAAAGCCCAAAGTACTATCAGCCTCTAACTTCTTGCTTCAGCCCCTCAGAGATGTGTGCTCAGAGATTCCCCCAAAAGCTGCTGGGATGGAAATGCATTTGTGGATTTGCATTCCAGAAGTAGCCAAGAAGCCCCCGTTAGCTCATAGCAGCACATACATACAGTTTCCTTCACTGGTGCAAGCTCATGAGATGAGGTCGGAGGGACGAGGAGAGGAAGGGAGGAGTCACAGGGCAACCCGCCCCCCTAATGCTGCTACGATCTTGGTCACTGGCTCCAAGTTGTTTCAGTTCTGTGAAGCATCTGAACAAGCAGAAGGCAAGGAGGAACACTTTTGTTGAAAATATATTGCACTCTTCAGGATGGACTTCTGTCCTGCTGGTAAGCCTTGACCATCTTTTGCCTTGTTTTCTGTGAGGGCTGGGCGCTCAGTTTGACAGGGCAGAGCACACCACAAAATCCCAGCAGCTAGAGTGGATGCTGCAGCCGGTGGCTGGAGGAATGAGATAGTGGAAGATCATTGGTGGTACAGTTAACTGCTTGTTAGCCTTCAGCATTAGGCATGGTTTTCTTTTTACTTGCTCTCCCCTAAGCAAACTCCTTTCACATTGGGAGAAATTTTCCCACTGATTTGAATGGCCTTTGTGCTGAGAGTGTCTACTGCTGTGACACCTTGTGCTGGTGATTCTGAGCTGAGCTGGGAACTGACTCAGAGGTATCAAGGGTATATGTGACACTTGGGATGAGCTCCCATAAGCTTTGGCTTCTCTTCATGCAACTCTGGCATGGCGTGCAAGCTCCTCAGCGGTGTTTCCCCACAGCCACCAGGAGTTGGTTTGCCTTTACGGAGCCCGTCATGCAGTTGGGTATCCCAGTGCAACATGCTTGCAAGGCTTTTGGTACTGGGGACTCTCTTGCTTATGTCCATGTGAAAGGTAAATGACTGTATTAGGGTTCTACCAACTCCAAGTGACCTGCATGTGGGCCTGCCTGGTCCTGAAATAATCTCAAAAGGCAGATGTGGGTGGGGGGAGATAAGCCACATCTGAGGAACCGAGAGAGATCTCGGGTTTTATTTCCTACTTTGGCAGGTGGCAGATAAAGTGGCTGGGATTCAGCAAGGAAAGACATACTGCCAGTCTGAACGTTTCTAGCCTGTGGCTGAGGAAGGTCTGAGTGTGTCTCTGCGCAAAGGCAGCAGCTAGGGAGAGCCGAATGGGAATAGGCTGGACAAGGGCCAGGAAGAAAAGGGATCACCTTGCAATGGCCTCACTGTGTGTGACTCTCTGTCCTCACAGGCTTTTGCGTATAGGACATAAAACACAGGGTGAAGGGAAAAAGCAGGGCCCAGTTTCAACAACTGTTCCGTGCTTTTCAGCTCCCGGGTGGGTAGCCAAGGAAAGGGCATGCTCAAACCACATCCCAGCCTTGCTTGCTGGGGAAATTGGTGGGACCTATGGGAGCTGAGCTCTTGCCAAGAATCTGGCTATGAATGTTGGTGAAGGTGGGTCTCTTCAGATCACCCAGCTCTCACCACCTGAAAGCAACAGTGGACAAAGCTTCTGCAGGACAAGCTGGGCAGGAGGGGCCGGGTTGGGGAGGGGGTACTTCATGTTTTGCTGCTTACTTTGGAGTGTGCTTTCCACAGAAACTGAGGCTTTCAGAGCTGATGGTCTGACACAGTCATTCACTCTACTTACGTGTCTCTCTGTTAATCATGTCTTAAAAGTCACACACTGCAATAGCACAATGAGATCCTGCTCAGGGATCCTGTGGGTTGGCTCAGCTCTGGCCAGAGGCAGAGTCTGGAGACAGGCAAGGCCTGAAGAGATGTGCTGATTCTGACTGATGTCTTTGCTCAGTCCCAGCCTGTCACTTCACATTTGGGTGGGAAAGTGGGTCTGTTTGATGCTGCTCTACCTTGGGAGCCAAAGCTGCCACCAGATGCAGTTTTCCAGTGAGCTTTAGAGCACTGGATGTGTTTAAAGTTGCTCGGTTGTGGCATGATTTTCCTCAAGGTAAGAGGTCCATATGCACCTTTTCCTGGAGCTACTCCTACCTGGAGATGCAATGGTCCTTTTAGGTACCCGTCTGCCACAGCTGCATGCAGCTGAAACCTATGTCTGTGGCGAGGCTACTCTCCCAGCAGTGAAGGTCCTCTTCCAGCTTCCTTCAGGACACTCTAGCAACTGTCTGGGTGAGGCCACAGAGCCAATATACCAAATCCTTGAGCTGAGCATGTGAAACATGGGAGAGCAGGCTGGTACCATGGTATCGTGCTAGGATGTGTGGGGTGAAAACGGCAAAAGTGTCCGGAAGCTATCCTGATTTCTATAAGTTGTCATGTGGGATAAAGGGACCAGGAGACAACATAATTCTTCACACCTTTTTCCCCATAGCTGTAATGTGCAAATTAATCCTGTGTGAGGTCCATGTTGAATTTCTTCTGACACAAGCTGGAAGAGAACTGTGGGGTGGCTGCAGGAGGGAGACAGATTGGGCTGGAGGGAATTGAACAGCTGTTAGGCTTACTATTATCTACCCGGTACCAGCCTGGTACCTGGCCGGGGAGGTGGTGCAGTGTGCTGGAGATGACACAGCAGCTGTATCAGAAAAAAAAAAGAGTTTCAGGTGAAATTCTTCCACCAGACAGCCTCATCCAGGCAGAAGGTGCCCATCAGGCTGCTCTGCTTGTGTGTTGCCATGGATGGAGGCACCCAAACCCTTTAGCAGCTGCTCTCAGAGACCTAAATTGCCTTGCAAACAGGCCAGCTCAACCTCTGGTGTTATACTGCGGGTGGGTAGCAGGTGGATGGTCTGTAACAGTGCTACAGATGCAGTCATTCTTCATAACCTTGCGCTACTACTGTTTCTGCAGTCCATCCTTCCAGCTCTCCTGGGTAGTCCCTTCCCGCTTATCCCTGTGCTCCGAAAGCTATCTTCCTATTCATATAGTTTTGCTTGGGGTTGAAAGCCTCACTTAGCACCTGGATAGCTCTGCACAGCCCTTTGCAATGGGAAATGAGACCAGCAAATGCATTACTCCTTGCTGGCCAGCTGAGAACCCAGACTCTTGGGTAACTCCGACCTGCCCTCCAAATAGGGAGGCTGAGGGCGTAAGTCACCACATCTGGAATTGAAGTCTGTGTTCTGTTTTGAGTGACAGCACTAAAAATACAAGCCTGGGCAATTCATGAAGAACTGGCAGGTCTTTCTATCTGGGTCTGCCCCGAGAGTGGGGAAACAACCTCAAGAGCGGGTGTAAGCCCCACAGATGTGATGGTGCTATGCTTTCCTTTCAACATTTGCTCTCTGAAAATAGATTCCAAGCAGCAGCTTCATGTCCTCTCTGGGGAGGACGCTAGCCAGTTTTTTATGTCTCGTGTCTGAACTGGAAGACTTCAGCATTGGTCTGGCTGACAGCATCCCCCTGAAACCTGCGGGTGTTTTCGTGGCGTGTTCTTCATCGGGGTGAAATTTCCCCCTGTGCAGAGAACCCTGACCAGGGCTATGCTTCATCTGTGTCCTGACTTAGCCCTAGAGGGAAGTGGAACTCGGTGGTACCGAGCACTTTGATGAGGCTGAAGCCGTTCTTCAGTCCCCTGGTGCAGGGATGAATTCCCTGTGTCATTGCAAGCCTGGCGGCACTTCACTGGGATTGTCCCTCTCCTGCCGGCTCAGCTCATTCTTAACGTGGAGAGGGAAGAAAAGGCAAAGCAGCATGCTCTCACTGGCTCATCTGCTGCTCGCCCAGTTGCCCCTGCTGCCTTTGCTGCCTTTCTGTGGACGGTTACCCAAACAATCCTTTTGTGTTCACTTCACTTAACTGTAGACCCCAATGTGTGCAATAACATTGACAGACAACCTCAAAATAGCATGAGCAGAGCATTAGGCCTTCTGTTAGGGAGGCAGAGTAACGTGCAGACACTGACCTCAGAATTATTTTCCAAGGCAATCAGGGACTTAAGTTGTTTAGGAAACAGGAAACCTTACAAGGACTGTCTCTGCAGCTCAATCTAAATTGCTCTGAAGGTTTGATCAATGCTTTTTTTTCCCTATTATGTCACACTCTCCTGTTTTTTTCATCCCTTGATTCCCTCCCCTTCTCCATGACTCGTATGCTTTTTTCTCCCCTGCCCTCCCCACACACAGAGCCCTTCCCACACTTTTCTCATTCTGACAAACCGGTCAGGTAAATCACTTGGGAGTTGGGGTTTTCAGATATTCAGGAGGAAAGGGGACCGAGTTATTTACGGTCTCGGTGGGGGTCGTGTGGGTGAGATGGTGTCCTCTGGGAGCTTCACGTCGCTTTGAGACGCTTTAGGTCGCTTCAGTAGACACAGAACAACTGAAGCAAAGCAACCAGGCACGCTACAGCCTTTGCTGGTGCAGTGGTGGCAGGGGGGTTCCTCAGGTATGTCCTGCTATGGTGCTTTTGCGGAAAGAAATACAGGACAAAGGGTTTTAGTGGTAATTTGTCAAGGAATCACCCCAGTGATTCCACAATTACCAGTCCCTGTAGGGGTGAAAGAGGTAAAGCTGGGAAGCCTGAGAGGATGGCCTCATCTCCTGCAGATGTCACAAAGGCGGGAGACATTAAGTAAGCCGAAAGACCCAGGCACCGCTCACAGGCACAGGGCTGACATTCAAGGGGAAGTCAGCAACCCGCTTAACAAGCAGCAAAGCCACTGCGTGGGGTTTTTTGTTGTTGTTGTTTCTTTCTGTTTGGTTGGGTTTTGTTTGCTTGCTTGCTTGTTTGTTTGTTTGTTTTCCCCTCACATACAGATTTGGCTGCTGCGAGCCACTGGGTGACCCAGGTTTTCCTCCCCTCTTGACCGTCTTGAGCAATCAGTCAGCTTCTTTCAGCTCTTTAGGAGAGCTGCTTTGCAGAGCTGGGAGGGCACGAGGGTCCTTCCCAGCCCTGGCTTCACCCTGGCTCCTTGCCCAGTGCTTTCCTCCCAGAGGCTCAGCAGCTTCTCCCCAGGGAGTTGCAATGCTTGAAAACAGCAGGAAGAGTGGCAGGAGAGAGGCTGTAGTCTGAGAAAAGTAATAGGACAGACTTAGCACATGGAAACCCATCCAGGCAGGAGGATGCGGGAAAGATTAGGATCCAGGAAGGCAGGTCACTCTGAGCTGTTGTGGCCATGACAGGAAAGAAGCATGTGGGCTCTGAGGTGACTCCCCTTGTCCCCTTTTCCTTCTGTCTGTCTTGGCTGGTTCCTTCCCCTTTTTTCCCCACTCATATTTATAGCAGTTGTTTTGCATGTGAGATCCACACTAAGAGAATTTCCAAGGCAGCTGGTGCCACTTCCCCTTTTTCCAGGAAGACGGGAGGCCCAGGGGATTTTGGCTTATGAAACAGTGGAGTAGGGCATCCAGTGACCTGACCTGGCTTCATGGAGAAGCTTTGTCTTGCAGTGTTTAGGTGCAGCAAGGACCCTGCCTGCAAGTTCTGCAGAGACCTCCTCAGCCTTGGGTGAGCCCCCTGTTTGTTTTTTTTTTTCCTGGGACTCACCATCTGCTTCGCCTCTCTAGGGCTGCAGCCTCCTCTTTCTCCTTGCTGCAGAGGTTGTGCTTCACCTGGATTATATTTAGCAGCAGTGCTGTCACCCCAATTCTTCTAGGTCTTTTATGAATCATTTTGTGGTTGCCTTGCCTCTGCTGGTATCTGTTCAACTTCCTGTACATTACAAGGAAGCCTCCTCTTATTTCTGCATTGTCTGTAGTCCACAGAACAACAGCCTCCCACAGGCTTCTTCAGCAAGGCTTTCATCCCCCCAGATCCTGTCCTCAGATTTGAAAAACCTCGATTCTCGCTCTTAAGCCATTTCTGACTCTAGCTGTGGTGGATCAATCCATGAAGCCAGCGGCTCTTCATGGGAGGTTTGGATGTAGATTATTAGAGTATTTAGGTCACAGCTTTTCGATACATGAAGCTGACCGACATAAAAACCACCAAAGAGCATCTCGTAAGACCTCTTCATTGTGCTCATGGCAAGCAAAATCAGTTGAGTAGGCGGGGTGGGTTGCTGCAGTGTTAGATCTGAGGGCTACCAGCACAGCGGCTGGCTGCTAGGAGGGGTATATGGATCTGTGCTTCTCGCTCCGGACTGAGAATTTGCAGGCCAAAGCTGAGGTACAGTGGCTGCAAGTGCAGGCAATATAGACACTGAAACACAGAAATCAGAGTTGCTGTGGCATGACCCTAGGAGAGGATAGGCCCTGAGAGGTTGAGGCAGTTTTTCCTGTGATATGTTGGCCCCAGTACTCACAGGTATCTTTGTTGTTCCAGAGTCAACTGACTTGAGTGAGGCTGAAGAGGCTGAAATAGAGACAATCAGGCAGCACAGACAGGAACTTTTGGAGGACATTAAGGTAAGGACCATGCTCTTCCTCCTGTCTGCCTAGCCTTCTCAAAAATGTTTTCACCAAGGAGCATCTTCACATAACAGTTCAGGCCATGCGGAAGTGCTCTTGCACAAGAGACATTTGCTCTGGCATGATCCAACTTGATTTCTGAACTTCAGGCTGCCCTGGTATACTTTCTACCAGTGTACATCCAACCTGTGGTACTCTCTGCTGTAGAAGACATCAACTATCCTAATGAGATATTTGAGAAACGCTGGTAAGGTCACTAGCAGGGATGAGCTGGGATTGCATATTTAGGATTAAGAAAATCAGAATGGCTTTACTAAGTCATACTGGCAGGGATCTGACTCAGCATTTAAGATTATTTTTAATTACTGATTACCTGCTAATGACATATCAGTCCTAGTTACCTGCTGCATCCCCCTGTGTTTATCAAACTTCTGTTTGGTTTGTGGACCTCTAACAAGTCCTCCATGAAGGATCCTGTCTCTTTAGAGACATACGATAGCAGCACCTTCCACACAAGTTTCCATGGTTGAACTTGGTTTTCTTCTTTTCTTTTAGCAGACCCAAACATTTCTCCCCAAATCCTAAAGTGTCTGAAAGTGGCAGATTCAAAATCAGTCAGTGGTATCACATCGCAGCCACACATGGTGCCATACACTTTCTATTCTGTTCTGCCTCCACCACCATGGTACATGGTCTCCCATTTGAGACAGCTTATTGCACTCAATCATTGGACCTGCACTGATTTTCCCACAACATGAAGATGTCTAGATGCCTGGAGAATAGGCACAATATTTCCTTGTGTAAAGGATTAAGCGAAACTACCTACTACTTCTCAGGCTTCCAGACTCACCATCTCTGCTGCAAATCAGCACGGTGTCTTGTCGCCTCTTGCAAAACAGGCAATGGATGTACGTGCATGTGGTTTGCTTGTATGCGGTTCTTATGTCTTCAGTTTTCAGAACAGGTAATGGGCACTGTAGGAGGCAGGATACTTGAATAGGAATACTACATTTTTTACACACTATGGGCAGTAAAAAGCTGCTAGACTACACAGACCCATACTCTAAATCCCAAAGCCGTTAACCAATGGGGTATGCATTGTCCAATGGAGCAGGATGAGTTTAGGTGAAAGACTACCTAGAACTAGAGACATTTTCCCAGGTGGATTTCTTCAGAAAATATCTACCAATACGCTTCAACGCAAAGCCCTGGGGGGGTGGCCGGGGGGGACGGCGGGGGGTGTCTAGACTTGCCAGTTACACTGCCAAAAACCAGCAGTGAATAAAATAACAAAACTGGTAATAATTTGAAATTCAGGAGCTAAGATCAAAACATTGTTATATTTGTGCAATACCTAAAGCTTAGTAAGGAACACTCCCAGCTCTGGAGACTGATGAAGCGCAGCAGAATAAAGGCCAGAGCAAAAGTGAAATCCAGTAGCTCTTTTAATTATGAGATATTGTAGAAGTCCAGGTTCTCTCTCTGGGTGCATACTGTGGCCACATCCTCACTCCTTGTTGACGCAAGATCTGTCATAAAACAACCCTTCTTCCCCTGCCTGTTCTGGTTTGCATGGGGAAGAATTTGGGTGATTCCTGGAAGAGAGCTGTGATGCACTCTGGCTCTGAGGAGGACTATAATGCAGGATGGAAGCAAGGAGATATAGACATCTTCATTTCCTTGGCAGAATATCCAGCCAAAAAGGCCATGGTCTGTCATGGGCCTAAAGGAAACTGAATTCTACAATTGATTTTTTCAAAATTTGGCAGTGATTACTCTTCTTTTACTCCTCCTCTCTTCTTTCTCTACCTAAAGACAGGTATCTGCTCAATGGTGTTTGAATGATAGGTACGTTAAAAACCCTGTGTTTCACAGTGTGGCTGCTTTGGGTTCATATTAACCTCATAGTTACTGGTTCCACTTCCCCTTTCCTGGATGTGTTGTAGGGCTATGCAAAGTAAAAGCTAGAAGGAAATAGGCACAATGGAAGGAGTCTCACATCTGACTTTGTTTGAGGAACTGAAATCAACACAGGGGTGAGTTCTCTGACACTCTCCACAGTGGTTGAGCTTGATTTTCCAACCTTGATTGACAACAGACACGAGAACATCCTTTTGCCCCTCTTTCCCATTGTTTTCATCTCGAATCCAGCAGGGTCACCCCAGAGTAGTGGCCATTTCATAGACACCCTGGCTGGTCGTGACCATCTGACCTGTCCTTTTCCTATGATTGAGGGAAGAAGTGAGACATGCTCTGTATGTGTTTGCTGATTTTCCCTTCACCACCTTCATCCTCCTGATACTTTTTTTTTGCAGAAGCTGAAGGAAGAGATTGCTGAAGTGTTTGCAGAGATTGAGTGCTTCCAAAATGCAGAGGAGAGGCAAGAGGCAGACAATAATTCTGGGGAGCAGACCAGGCAAGTGGGACAAGATGGGTATTCCTTTGTTTACAAAGTCTCCCTCTTGACGTTGAGAAAACAAAAACACCCATGGGATTTGGATCACAACAATGACAGGGAAATGAGGCCAGGAATACCTTTCTCTCCTCTGAGATTTTTCTTTGTTCCTGGATAGTCAGACACCTGCCCTTGAGATAGCTGAGTTACCTTGTGAGTCAATTGAAACATGGACCTCAGTTCTAAATTCGTCTTTCCTACTTCTTCATGTTTGCAGCAAACTATCACAGAGGGATAAACTTCTCTCCCTGGGCCGGAAGAAATTCAACATGGACCCTGCAAAGGTAGGATTTGCTCATTCTACTGATGAGGAGAAAGTCGGGAGGAAGAGCTTCTCTTGGCTACTGGTCCACTTGCAGCCACCCATGTCAAAAGAACTACGGCATGGGACTGTGGGGATGGTTTCCTACCTCACTAAGGCTCCAGTTTGTAGCACCCTCCTTTGTCTCCCTGACTAAGGTCTTCTGATATGATCAAGCTGTGTTGCCTCCCCCCATCATGTGCCTATAGGCTATCCCATCAGATGCAACTCAAAACTAAGAGAAATAATATAAGAGAAATAAAACTAAGAGAAATAAAGGGAGGATGGCTTAACACTGCCAATGTGTCAAGAAAGCCAAATCTCCTTCAACCCAGCTTTTCTTGCCTGTGAAAGGCTAAGAATTAGCCACAGTGTGATGGAGGAGCAGGAAGTAAGAAGAAGGTGAGATGTTTGAGAGTGTGACAGGTTCCTTGGCTCATTTAGAACGGAAGAGGACAAGCTGCCTCAGTAATTTTGGAAGTAGTTTTGGTTTTGGTAGTATTGGTTGAATTGTGGAGTGAATCCAGGTTTTCCACTTTCTGGGTCTCTGACCAGTGGGGTCCAGACTCCATAGCCTTCAGCCCTCTGCAGAAAGCTCTAAAAGCCTCATGATTAAGTAGAGAAAATGTGAGAAAGAAAGTTTTCTCTTTCTTCCTCCTCACTGGTGGACCCATTTTTTATTTTTTTTTGAACTCTGTAAGGAAAACCACAAGCTGCGATTGAACGATTGCTCATCGTCAGCTAACCACCACAGCGAGCATCTTGGGTAGCTTCTGGTCTGCGTGACAACTTTTCATGCCTCCTCCTCTGCCCTGCTGAGACCCTCAAGATGCCTTTTCCCCAGTGTCTGCACCACAGCTGGAGACCTTGCCAGCCCCCGGACATCCCTCTGCCAGTGGGAGCTGTCTGAGAGCAGTGATATCAGTACTTACAGCCTGCATGAGAGCAGGTTTCATTTTGTCTTTCCATCTGACCTTGGTTTGAGGCCCCAGAGGCATCTCTCTCTGGCACCGTGCCACGCTGTGCAGATATACCTGAACTAGTTCTGACCCCAAACCAGTTTAGCTTTGTTAGTTCAATGGTGATTGGCAAATGTTACACTCTGTGCCTCTTTTCTTTTCACTTTAGAATAAGCATATGCAGATCTCTCTTTATTGGTTCCCTTTTGCTACATGCCATAGGCTGACAAGTGATGCAATGCAAGGAACTTTCTTTGCCCTCCTTGCTAAGGTGACGCTTCATCCATGCAATGCTGATACTTTAAATGAGTTCCTGTCTCTAAGATCTCAGGGCAAGTTCCTGAGGCTAGAGGAGGTAGGCATTAGGAATCCAGCAGAACAAAACCTTTTGGGAGAAACTTTTTCTTCTGGAAAATGGAGCCACATCATCACCGTAATGCTTTGCAAAATTAAATTGATCGTACCAAAATTCTGTCTAGGGAAAAAGAAAGGAAAATAGTGTGGAAAAATCTCACAAACATTTCAATTTCTTCTTTTGAAACTACTTTTTCTTTGGGGCATTTTAGAAATAGTTTCTTATATATTACAAGGCAAAGTGAATTGATTCTGCTGAAGTGAACATTTTGATGGATCTAAAACAATTTTCATTCCTTTATTGTATTTTGTGAGGAGAATTGCAATGTGGTCTGGAGAGTTGCAGTATTTTTAGATATTGCTAAGAATCTGAACAAAACCTCAACTCTCTGTGACTTAAAAAATCATGAAATTCCCCCTAAAATAGAGTGTTGCACAGCCCAACTCAGACCCTCTATATTCCATAAAAAACATGCTCCATCCTTACTGGCTGGGGACGATGGAGTTGAAAAGATTACAGACTTCTCTGTTTTGTGGCATAGAAAAAAATTTAGGAAAGAATAATTTTTAGTTGTCTCAAGCCTTTATTTTTGTCTGAGTATGTTTTTTGATTATGCCTTTTTTTAAACACTTTTTTTTTTCTTTAAGTTAATTCAGAAAAAAAGACATATAGGAAGAGAACACAGATATTTTGATTGAAAATGTTAAAATGAACTATTTTGCCTTAAATCTACTTGTCTTTTGGACTTTTAACCTACATTGCCCTTTTTTGTTTGCTTGTGTTTCCACCCCAGTGAAACATTTATCCAAATCTAGGGACAAAATGGAAGTGGGACTGACCCACCATGTTAGATGAAGAGGGATGGAATAAGGGTGGGAACATGGCTGTGGTCTCCCATGAAGGAAGGAGCTGGGGAGTAACAGAGGAGGCAACATCACTGAAGCCAAGGAAGACTGATATGAGGGTGTTGGGGTCCTGCTTTCTTATCAGCCCACAGACCTGTCTCACTTTGCTGTCTTGCTTCTCCTTCCCCAGGGGATCCAGTACCTGATTGAGCACCAGGTATTGTCCTCAGACCTGCAGGAGATCGCCAAATTCCTCCACAAGGGTGAAGGCCTGAACAAGACAGCCATTGGGGACTACCTGGGTGGGAGGTGAGCAACTCAGCCAGGATGAGGAGGCCCTTTGGAGGCTCTGTTCTGCCTGGTCCCTCTCAGCTACCATTTTAGATGCCCCTGGCAGACCTCAGTCAGGTGCCAAGACTGAACATACCTCAAACTGAAGTGGTCTGGGTGGGCAGTACACCCTGGGAAAGGGACCTTATAGAGTGTGGCTAAGGCTGGCTATATGGGCTACCCGTCCTCCTTCCTGTAATGGGGTCAGTCTTCCCAATCAAGACTGTGCCTCTTGGCTTTTTATTGCTCAGAGGGGAAGTGGAGGCTAGGATGGAGCCCAGTGCATGTCATCACAGCAAGGGGCATCCAAACTGAGCAGGGTGAAAGCTTTCTTCTGACCTTTTTTCCCTATTCTCTCCCAGGGACCCCATAAACATTCAGATCCTTCAAGCCTTTGTGGAATGTCACCAGTTTGCCAACCTCAACCTGGTACAGGCACTGAGGTGAGTGGGCATGCAGGATGCAGGGGATGGAGCAGGAGCCTGCTCAGTCACTGGGTCTTACCACCCAGGAAGGTTGTAAAGACCTGCTGGGCTGAAGTGGGGCTTCCCAAGCCCCTGCTGCACGTGTTGGCTCCAAGATTGTTGTTCTATGAGGTGTTAACACCTTTTCCTGGGGGAACCCTGTCATGGCCCCTTGCCTAGACTGGCCATATGCAGAGAAGATGGGCAAAGCAAGGTGGGCCATCATGGCTTCGATCCTTGGGGGGACAGGGCAATTTATTTTTTGCACCAAGAAACATATCTGTCCACAGTGCCTGTTATGTCAGTGAGAAAGTGATTCTGCCTTAGGGCATCTTGTTTTCTTATAGGTCAGCCTCCTGGCAGGACTCTTTCTCTTGAGGTCTCTGCTGCCCTGCAGGGCGCTCATTAGGGAAGAGAAGCCATGATTTCCAGAATGCTTAGTTCTGCTTCCTCCTTTTAGTGTGTTTGAGGCTGATGAGCCCAGGCATTTCTGGAGAGAGGAGGAGACCTCCTGCCTCATGCACTGTGTTGTCTCCCCAGTGCGATGGGATGACTTCTTTTATTTCCATGGTGCCCCATGGGTTGAGGGAAGCAATAAATGTCCCTTGCACCAAATCTGACTAACTCTCTGGCATGCTGCTCCTGATAGACAGTTCCTGTGGAGCTTCCGGCTGCCTGGGGAAGCACAGAAGATTGATCGGATGATGGAGGCCTTTGCCAACTGGTACTGCAAGTGTAACCCAGGAGTATTCCAGTCCACAGGTAGTTATGGGGAGAAGAAGGCCTGTAAAGCTGAGCTCCACTGTTTGCTAGAGTGGAGCCTTCCTTTCCTGTTCACAAAGCACAGAGGGCATCACTTGGAAGTGTGGATGTTTCCCCGTAAGATGAAGGAAGCAGCCCAGTTCCTGTGAAGCTTTTTAGTAGGCTGAGGGTCTTCAGTCCTACCTTTGCTACTGTGCTTCAGTCCATCCCCATGGGCAATAGTCTTGAGAAGTCCTCCCAGCCTCACATGAGGTACACCTCATCACAGCAAGGA